AAGATCGCAAGTGTTGGCTAGGGTGTGGAGAAATTGGAACCCTTGCCCACCATTATTGGGAATGTGACATGGTGCAGCCACTGCGAAAAGCAGTATGATTTCTCAGGTGGTTCCTCACAACATTTAAAATAGAGCTACTACATTATCCAGCAATCCCACTTCTGGATATTTATCCAAAAAGTCAGGACCTTGAAGAGATATGAGCACTCCCATGTTCACTGCACACTCACTATTCACAATAGCAAAGATGTAGAAACAGCCCTAGTCAGGTGGCTCAGTTGATTGGCGAGTACACCAAAAATGGTTGCAGGTTCAATTGCCAGTCAGGGCACATACCTGGGTTTGCAGGTTCCATTCCTGCTCAGGGCAACGGATTAATATCTCTCTCTCTATCTCTCTCTCTCTCTCTCTCTCTCTCAAATCAATGAACAGCTCCTCAGGTGATGATTTTTTTTAAATGTAGAAACCACCTAAATGCCCATAGACAGATGAATGAATAAAGGAAATGTGGCATATACATACAATGGGATATTACTCAGCCTTAAACACTGAGTAAATTTGCAATGTGGGACAGCACAGATAAACCTTAAGGACATTATGCTAAGTGAACTAAGACAGTCACAGAAGGACAGTACCGCATGATTCCACTTATATGAGATATCTAAAATAGTCAAACTCTTAGACTCAAAGAGTGGAATGGTGGTTGCCAGGGGCTCGGGGGAAGGGGAGATGGGGAGTTACTAACCAAGGGGCATAAAGTTTCAGTTGTACAAGATGAATGAGCTCTAGGGGTCTGCTGTACAACAGTGTAGCTATAGGCAACAATAGTGTGTAAATATACTTAAATTTTTGTTAAGGGGTAGATCTTGTGTTAAGTATTCTTACCACAATACGATAAAATAGTGTATCAAAAATTCCAAATGGGGAAGTTTTAATGGAACCATAGAGGAGAATTTTCCCAGTTGAAGCTTCCTCCCTGAGAAAGTAACATTTTCAATGAAGATGAAAAATTGAGTAAAAGTCAATCAGGCAAAGTGGTGGAAGAAAGCACTAATGCCCTCACCCTCTGAAGCCCAGACCAGAGCTCCTGTCCTCCTTGGCACTGGCCTTATGTGGAAGCCAGGCCCCAGAATCCCAGGGAAGGCCTGTAAGTGTCTCACTGGCTGCCAACCATGGTCAGTCTTGCCCACCCAGGCTGCCCCCCCCCCCC